AGGGCCGTCTGAAATAAAAGGAAACACATAAAAACCCACAAGCTCCCCTCTCCGCCGTTGCCACCCCTTCCTCCCTTTCTTCCCCACCCGTTCAGCCCCCGCCTCACGGGGAGAGTCGGATCTGGGAATGAGAAATGTTTGTACAATTAATTCTTTATTGCTGTTTTCTTTTCCCGCAGTACCGCTTCCAGGCACTAACGCGGTTCCAGTCTATTTAGGAAAAGTAAATAGAAATGAAAATAAAGCTCTGTGGCCGTTTGAAAATAAGAACGCAGCCGCTCCGGCCCCCCTCCCACAGCCTGTGGGGGGGATGGCTGCCCCGGGCCGGGTCCCTCCGCCTCCCCCCTCCCCACACCCCTCGGGGACCCGCGGTCTCTGCCTGGCCATAGGACAGGGGAAGACCCCCCCTCAACCCCCGAGGGACGCCGGAGCTTGAGGAGATGCTTCAGCGGCACTGCCGCGTATCGACTCTCGGTGATGACAGCATCTCTCCAACCTGGAGATGCGCAGATGATGTTATATCATTTTGGATTTGCAGGGCTTTTTTCATCAGCACTCTGAAAAAAAAACAAGCCCACAAAATCCTCCTCCCACCGCAGTAATAAACCCAAAAGAGCAGTGGGTGGAAGGGTAACGCGTTAATGACTTCTGCTCAAATAGCTTCCATCCTGATCACATTTTCATAATTAGCACCATCATCTACAAATCTTTCCGCCCCAGGCTTCCCAAGCGGTGTGTGCCCTGCTTCTTAGGGAGGGGAGAGCTCGCAGGTCTGTCATTAATGAGTCCCTTTCAAATGAAATGAATACGACCTCTACCAAAATATCAAAGGGCTGCAGCTACCTCGTCTCGCTCGGCACAACGCTGAATAGCCAGCAACCTGACGTCGCTCTCCTGTAGGCAGACATCTATACAATAAAACATAACCCTGCCCTTGTATATTTTAAGTTGTCTGGTGACCATTTCGGAAAACAAAAAGGGTTCCTTTGATGTGGTCTGATTCTAGCAGAGGGTGGGACGTCAGATGTGGTCTACCGATTCTTTCTGGAAATATTTTTAATGATGCCCCAAAGCTCCTTGTAGCCCCGAAGTAACAATCAGAGAGCAGTTCGGGTCTGTTACTTAACGTAGAGGCGAAAGTAAGGTTTAGACCGTACGTAACTACACTAGAATTACAGCCTATAACGATCTATTAATTCCTTTGAAACGTGTAATTTTAAATGGAACATCATAGGTGTCTATGGTTCCCAAAGCTTGATCTTGCTAACGGCATATTTCTATGCTTTCTTACGGGAAAGCCACGAAAGCAGCGTTTCCCCCAGCAAGCCAGTGGGTAAAAGCGTGCACATCTGACACAGATGTTTTTATTCTTATCGTGTGCTCCGATTCCAAAGCACACAAAGCACCGGTGGTCCTAGCTGGCTGCCCTCGTAGAGGAGTAGGTGTGTCCAAGAGCTGCGTGACAAATCAATGCGTATTGCTCTTCAGGTGTCACAGAAATGTAAACACTGGAAATAGATGAACGCATTTGAAAACCTCTCCTAAAAAAAGGAAAGGGGGCGAGAGAAAAACAATATTTATTTCTTCGTTTAGCCCAAATTCAGCTTGGAAGCAGCTGATGTGATTTCCACTCCTGAGCAGCTGCCCTGCGCGCAGCAGTAATTTACAGCAGCCGCTTCTCTAACGAGGAGGAAGTTGCAATTTGTAGAGCAATAAATACCGAGGCGGTGGGAGGAGCCCTCAGAAGAAAAATCGCCCTCCTTCTCCAATTAAAACTCCACCTTGGTATCACCGCGGACCGTGGGAAGGTCTCAAGGAAAACACGGCGGTGAGGATAAGGTGTTTGTTTGTGGCTGAGCCGCGTTATCTCCCGAGCAGGGCTTTTCTGCTCGCTGCGGTTTGCTCACACCTGCTGCTGACATCGGGTGGAGGTTCTGAAACTCAATTAATTTCGCTCAGCTCTATCTTCTTTGCTTCGTGGTCTCCTAGTGGGGTTATTCTGCACCCTGTGAACAATATAATCTCGTTTAAATGACTTTCCAGACCACACAGATCACATTACCCGCTTCTATGCATGAAGGCAATATTGTTTATTGGATTGTATGCTCTGAACTTCTGAAAAGCAGGAGAGAGTGGAGGAGAAAGACTCTGGGCAGGAGCTTCATGGTTTCTCAAGTTTAGGATGCTTCCTTGGACAGAGATAGTAAGACTCATGTAGTTTCCAATTAAAACTAATACAAAGAACTCTCTAAAAGAAACACTGCATGTGTGACAAGTATGTTATCACTTCCGTCTATCCATTCATATGGATTTTTTTTCATGTTCATAATTATTATGCTTTTATGAGAAACTCAATCCGAGGCCTTCAGATTTAGGATGGTACTATTTTTATACTAATTATGTGAGCAATTGCTGTAATGCATTTCAGGCAATGAATTCATTTTGAACAGTTAAACCTCGGTATTTAAGTTAAAAACGCATGGTTTACTGCTGCAGTTGAGCTCTGTTAGCCCATCTGTTATGCATATACTTCCTAAATACTCATTAATACTATTGTTTATGGTGTATAGTTTATTGAGATCAATACAAAAATGCTCGCGTTCCTTACTCTAGCAAATTTTTGTTACAGTCGGCAAGAGTTTCCTTGGCTGAGGACTGAGGGATTAAGCCTTCACTCAAAGTCCATGAATAAACTAAGAGCCTTTTCTTTAACTCATGCGGATTTGGATCAGGCCCAATCTTATTACTAGAAAAATTATTTTGCCCTGTTCTCACATAATCTCTTAATGATTTATTGAATAAAAATATTCAAAACAACGAATGCAGAAATTAAATAGCAATTTAATTATCTTTCTTAGCTCTGTTGCTCATGCCTTCTCAATACAAGAAAGAAAGGAAACAGTACAAGAAATGTAATGCTACTGAAATATGTGCCATGGTACAGTTTAGACAACTATCATGTGGCTTGTAAAATTTGTGACAGGCTAAAGCAGTATGGGGATATTCAGACCATACAGATAAACTGTAGCCATGAAAATAACTAAAAGAAAGGATGTGGAGCTATCTGGAAGAGGAAAGAGGGAGTGTGAGAAAAACAACAACAACAAAAAACCCCATAGAAATGTAGTTTGATAATAACTTGCAGACCAGACCTATACATCTGCTTCACACCTTTGGTATCTCATTCACCACTTAATAGGCTGAGCTCCTGGACAAACTTTGTTCCTTTTTTTGGTAACTCAGCATGTGCTTCTGAAAGCAGCTTCAAAGCACCGCTTTAGATTTACAGAGGAGTGTAGTGCAACTGAGAGAAGTATCTGGCCCATATCCATGATGTAATTGCGCTTAGTGCCTGAAGGGCCTGCTATTCAGATAAATCTCTTACTACTTTTAGAATATATTCCCCTGTTACTTTCACAATCAGAGGCTTGTTATGATCTCACTCAGCCCTGCAGATCTTTCAGAATTGGCTTACCTGAAGATAAAAGATCCCTTTCTCCAAGCTGGTTGGATCAACACTTTGTAAAGTCAGATGACAGGAGCAGGGGTCAGACCCAGGTCTGTTCTTGGAGTTGCACTGGGGATGAAAACTGAAAGAGGTTGCCTCAGGGAAATGTCACATGCATGAACATATGTCCCTAGAAGAGGAAAATATAGTGCTAGGAATTAATTATTTCTCAGAACTAAAGATTATTTAACATTGCTTTCAAACTTCCCCAGTTCTAGAGCAGAGGTTTATCATGGGGCTGGAGTTTTCCCAGGAAATCCCATCCATGGTCACAGGTTGTCTGAAGGTGTTCATGATGCAGAGCATCTTGATTATGTTCCACCTACATCATGGGATCAGGGAGAGCACCAAGAAGGCAGAAGTATGGGCGAGGAAAAATTATGCAAGTTATGTATTTATCAACAGAGAGAAGAGAACAAGCAAGTGCCAATTAAAATTAGTAAGTCAGATTAATTTTAGTGGAATATCTTCTTTTGCCTCAAGGAAAGAGCCATAACTAACTCCTGAGAGAGCCAGGTACAGGTGCAAATAACTGAGTGTCTTTCTAGAACCGATGTTGGTGCTGTCCTTCTGATTGCAGGGTGTCAGGTGCAGGTGGCAGCGCCTCTGTCCCACCTGTGCTTGGTAGATAGGAAGCATGTGGAATGCAGGGGATACCCAGCATTATCATGAGGAGCCTCAGGCTGCTTGCGGTGAGATAAGCATTATTTTGCTGCCCTCCTGTCTCTGCTGTGGTTTCAGTAGGTCTGCAGTCAGGCAATAAGTGGGATCAGGCCTTAGAGCCAAGTGGGGCCAGCAGCAAAGCAGCCTCCAGTCATGGCTGCTTGAATCACAGAATTGCAGCAGCTGGAAGGGACCTCAAGAGGTTATGGAGTGCAGGTCCCCTCCCCAGGTCTCTCAAGCTGGATCTGGAACTTACTAGAGGAAATTACCTGCTGAGGAAAACACACATGTCCATTCTTTATTTTTCTTTTCCTGTTTTGTGGAAGTGAAAGTCCTGCTGCTGAAATCCAGCAACACAAACAAGGAGGAGTTCATCTCTTTTCACTTCTATGTCTCTCTCTCTTCCTTTGGGAAATTTATTTATTTATTTATTTATTTATTTTAATTTTTTTATCCAGCCACTTCAGCATTGATATATCAAGGTAGAGCTTGCAGTATTTCCTGGGAAGTAGCAAGAGCTCTCATCCTGAGCTCTCTTTTTCTGTGGCTTTCAGCGCTGCTCCCTGAGGTGCTTGGTTGTGTGGTCATCAAACACCCCTCTCTGGCTTTTTCTGCAGCCCCAGCAGCCAGGTCTGCCCCAGCTCCCCTTCAGCCCCTGCTGTGCTGAGAGGCAGAGGGCTTGGGACTAATTTTTATGGGAACTGTGAAGGAAAGTTCAGTTATCAGTGGAGGAAAACAGCAGTTTTTTTCTTCTTCTTCAGAGAAATTGATTATTACTGTAGACTTCTCAATTAGTTAGATTATTAATTAAATTATTACCATGTTCTAGACATCTTATAGCTAAGACAGCACATCTACGAATGTATTAGACAGATGAAGACTATTTGACTCTCCAGTTTCAACCCAGTTTGACAAGTGGATGAGGCTGTCAGAGCTGCTGGGCCTGAAGGTACATTCTTCACCTGTAACATAAAGAGGGAGGATCAATAATTCAGTACTACGTTACCTTAGTGTGCTCTCTAATCTGAGACAGGCTTCTGATACTTCTTTTGTTCTCAGAAAAATCTTGTAGAAGGGATGACCCAAATTATCTAGATATTAACCAAGATATGTAAAAGATATTCTTCAAGTGTCTTAGAAGGAAGCTGTACATGTAATTCATGATTGGATAGACAGGAATTATTCAAAGGCTGCCAGTGGCACAGGTTATGTTGCAAATCCACAGGGAAAAACCTATATCCTCTCCTCATTACTTTCAGTTTCTAGTTTAAATTAGTGATTACTAGGTCCTGTGGAATATTTTCCTATTGAAAAGGATGTTTGTTTGTTTGTTTAGGAACAGATGGGTGTACTATGACTCGTAAAAGATGTCAGGACAACTTTTGTTTTCTATTATTTGCATGGTACAACTGCAGCACTGCCAAATACCATAACAGCTGTAGACATCAGTCACCAACTACAGTTAATGTTTGATGTAAGGTCTTGCACAGAAGTGGTCGTGTAAGCATCAGATATGTGAAATCTCGGTATCACAAGTATCCACAGCTAAGTTCCACATATGTGGTCAAATGGGTCTGTAAAGGACATTCCTCTCAGTACTATTTTGGCAGTATATTTGTCAGTTATTTTATACATCTGTAACACTGACCACTACTTCTCACCTCACTTCACCGTTTTCTTTCAGATGTTCTTCTAACTGAGAAGTGCTATAAGAGTCTCTTCTAGACGAGATGTCAGACTAGAATGGACAGGTGAGTCTCTTTTCCATTACATATTAATATGTTCAGCTCAAATGCATTATACCTCATAGATGTGGCAACCTAGGTGTCTTTACCGAGGCTTTTCTTTTCAGACAGGTGTGTATGAGCTAGAATTTTTCCTTTGGCTCATTTTTTTGTACTGATGTATCTTGCAGAAGTGGTTCTGTAATGAGTCTATGGAAGTAAAATGCAAGTATTTGTAGCTGTTTGGCCGTTTTTTTTTTTTTTCTTTTATCTATGTTTTGAGTTTTCAAATATATATTTATTCAAGTCATTCAGTAAATTCCAATTTTCTCTTTAGAAAGAAAGATACCCACCACTGAGCAGTCACACAGATGCACACACAAACATACCTGCATCCCCTGACCAAATGTAATGCCTGAACTTGCAAGTCCTTTGTAATGAAGGTAATCTTTATTCACGTGAGCAACCCCACAGAACTATTCATGCAATGGAGAATTACTCACATGAGTAAAACTTTGCAGGATCAGGTCCTGGATCTAACAACAGCATTTTAATTACAGACAATCCCCAAGCAATGTGTACAAAAGAGTTTTTTCCTGGACAATAACAAAGGTTATTAGCCTGTTCTTTTTTCCCCTTCTTGCTCTTTGGTTTAAAAGGAGGCACCAATAATCCAAACCAAATAAAACTGACCTTTGAACCTTTTCTGCTGTACTTTTTCTCATGCCATGATTTCTTTAGTGTGTTAGTGATCTGAAGGCTCGTTCTGGGCTACAGCCACTTTCCCAGACAGGACTGCCTTTCGTCCCCTGACAAATCACTGCTGAGCCCCTTTTGTCCTGCATCACTTTGATCTCACCTGCCTGTCAGGAAAAAAAGAACTCCCGTACAGTCAGAATGCATTGCAAACAAATTGGCAACCATTTCATTCCCATACACCATTTCAACAAAGATCAAGATAGAGATAGAGAATTTTTAACCCTTTCCTTGACCTGTAGAACTGAAAAGGAATGCTCAATTATGGTAGAATGATAAGATAATTTCTTAAGGAATTGGAGGGTACAAAAAAACCCCAAACAAAAACAAAACAACAAAAAGAGAAACAACAAACCTCTGTTATCCTAATTGCATGGCATATTAGCTGTCAAATACAAAGGAGTTATGGCACAGTGGGCAGTGCTGTGTTCAAATACAAGCTTTGTAGAAGATCAATTCCTTTTAATTGGACAGCTGCTTATGCATAAACTAAAGAAACATAATAGGTATTCTCCAAAGTGAATGAAATTAATCCTATTATAAATAACCACTGGAGTATTTAATAGGCTATCTGAAGCTCTTCCAATACACAAACTTCGACTTAGCCATAGGTAAATTTATTTCCCAGTTGAATCTCTGGAATATACATATACATGTATTTCTCTTTTTTCTCTCTCTACATATATATACCTAGGTTGCTCTGAAAGTAATGCATCCTATTTATTTGCATGGAAACTATGGCAGATACAAAGAGCACAATAGCACTATTTGATAGAGTAAATTTTCAGATATAAAACACTATTTTTCAGTGTAGTCACCACCATTAGTTATGCATTTTAACCAACAACGAACTAGAGCCTGCATGCTGTACTTGTAAAGAACTGCACAATTGGAAGTGACCCACTGTAACCACTGCTGGAGAAACACCACCTACTGCCTCACTGTGCTCACACCCCCTGTGTGGTCTCCAAAAATGTTTAGCAAGCATTGATGAATGTCAGTGGTTGCCAGTTTTTCTGCATGGTGGAAATCAATGATGCACCTTTGTTCCATATATACTTGCATGTCAGATGCCATTCTGTCAGAATGCCCATCTGCTGCCATCTGCCACGTAGCAACAAAATGTAATCAACTACTGGTGGGAAAGTTCAACCTCTACTTTCATAGCACCAACATCTGCCTCTGACATTGTGGGTGAATATAATAGGAGGCATTATTTTTGGAGCAACCATTGAAACAAAGACCAGTGAAACAAAGGCACGCTGCACTGAAGAAATATATTCAGTAGGTTTCATAACTAAAAGCTTCTATTTGCCTGCCACACCTCATACAAATAAAGCTTTTACCTCTCTTTAGTTCTTAACTCCAAATTTCAAATGACTTCAGAAAACACATTCTGACACTGATGTTCGTTCTTGGGAGGAACGGTAGGAAAGTGTCCTGTACTTGTTTTGAATCCACTGTCAAAAGCTCTGGGGTCTAGTCTAAAGGGCAGGAGGGTTCATCATTCCCAGAGAGGATCAGGTACTCCTTTTCAATAGTACCTCTGTCCACTTGTGTTTGTAGGTCTACATCAGAGGCATTTCATGATCCTCCTGTTTTCTTTCTTTTTAAAATATTTTTGGGAGGTGCTCAGTGTATCCTGGCTCAAGGACAGTCTTTAAAAGGGATAAGAGAATCCTTGAGGCTTCTTCCTTAATTGTGTAAAGCACAATTCTGTTTTAACAGCTGTTCATCAATTAATTCTAAATCATGTCTTTTTTAACAAAATGGTGTCTGTAATGAAAATCGGTAGCTTTGGAGTAGGGTTATTTTTCAGAGAATTTTGTGGGATTCTTTTGATGTATGAATGGAACAGGTGGTCTAAGGACCTAAGAAGGGTTAGATCTAAAAAAAGTACTGCTGATGTTATATGTGGTGATGCCAGTAGTGCTAACCTAAATGCAAGTGTTTGTATTTGAACCAGTGTATGCAAAAGTTAGCTCCAAGTTACTTTTGCATATTCATTACTTTGGTGTTCTTCTCCATGTGATTCTACGTACTACAAGGGTACCCCAAAAGGAATGCCTTTTATGATATTATGTTGGTCTGCAGCATCAGAGGAAGATATTGGTGTTACACCAGTAGAGGCTGAACCTTCAAGCCTTCATATTCCATTCCGTTGTGTCAGATGGCAGCAGAAGGGTAGTCAGACAAAATGGTGTCAGACATGGATGTAGGTCACCTCCTGTGTAGCATGCAGGTTCTTGTTCATTACTGGTGAAAATGCATAGTTTATAGCAGTGACTATGTTGAAAGAGTGTTTTGTAGTTGAGAATTTGCTGTAACAAATAGTATTATTGTGCTCTTTGTGCCTGTTGTAACTCCCATGCAAATAAATAGGAAGCATTACTTTCAGAGCAACCTACATACTTTCAGGTTAGTTATTTTCTTTTTTCTGGTTTTGTTTTTACTTTTTTGCCTGTTCCCATCAGCTATTAGGGTGCATTCACTGTTTCTTTTTCTTCCTTTTTTTCCTCCTTTTCTTTTTTTTTTAGCCTGATTATTTATAATTAGCATTTTCTACCCCCCATGTAATTGTGTTTTAAACTCTTTCACACTGGGTTAATTCACTGACTTTAAAATCTATTAATTGACATCTAGAGGGGAAAGAGTAAACATGTCTTTAAAGATGGCATGAATGGTTGAATCAAGATTAGGTCTCCACTCTTTTAGTCCCCGAGTTTAAGGCAAGGCTGCAGTCTTCAAAAATCAATTGTCTTCAAAGCTCCAAAAAGAAATGGAATGAGCAGGGGTCAGACTCAAGAGCATCCCTTGTGTGTGGAGTTAACATTACCTAAGTACTTTAAATGATCACTAATTAGTGCTTTCAATAGGCACTCTGAAGACCATAGGATTGAAATATCTTATTTGGGAATAAACAATTGTGTAAGGCAGACTAGATCAACTCTCTAACATGGGCAGCAAAGCAACTCTTCCATTACAGCCTGTAACCAGAGAGAAGTCCTCAAGGACCTGCTAAACCATTCACAATTGTCCTCTTTCATTATTCCCAGGTTAGGATGGTCACAGGACTCTTGATTATATAGGCAAGCATGCTTCCCTCTGAAATTTAGTTTATAGTACAACCCTGATTGTCTTCAATAAGAAACAACAAAAAAGCCCATATCCTCACTGGCTATTTTAGATGTAGTTTAAAAATAGTTTTAAAGTCAGTAAAAAGAAAAAAAATCATAAATATTTATTTCATAGTTGTGGAGTTAAGAGCTTACTATCCACACCTGCATCTGAGCAAAGCAGCAAATTATTACTAAATACTGCCAGCTCCTGGGGTTTCAAATCAACCTCCGTAATACCATCTAGGAGTACCACGTACATGCAAAAAAAAAATTCCTAATAAGGACATAAGAAAACACACCATTTGACATATATAGTCAATCATTTTTAGGAGTGCAATTACAACTACTGAGTAATCTTTATAAGAAACTTGCAAGTCAAATACAGTTTTCATTAAAAATGAGAATAATGAATATACATAAATTGAAAGATCTGCTGTAGAAAAAGATGGAAACTTGTGGTAAGAAAGCCATTTCTAAAAGTAATGCTACACTATTTATTCATTTTTTTAATTTACTTAGTGCTGTAAACGAGGGTGAGGGTACATTACAGGGAGTCAATAGGGATTCCAAAACAGAAGGATGAAGCTTTGACTTAGACTTCAATCCAGTGCCTGCCATGGTGCACAAGTGAAGTTTTCCTTCCTGGAAAATGGGCAGCTATCACATACATATTTATATATTTTTACCTCCCTGAAGTGCAACTAAAACCACCTGTGATCATCAAGTGAGCAAAAACAATAGATGGAATATGAGAGCAAGAAAGAATGATAAAATCCTCTTTTCCATAAAAGGACATAGTTTTTAATTTAAAAAAAAAATATATAAGTTTTGTGTAAGAGAAAATGTTTCTGATTTCATAAAGTCTTAACCGGGGAAAAAAAAAAAAAAAAAAAAAAAGATTATTTGGAAGTTTTTTTTTATTTTGGAAAGAAAAAATAGTTTTCTTTCTTTGGCCCCTGAATATGGAAGCACCAGTTTTTGTTTGTCAGTAAAGATGTCCTGAGAAAACTGATGAGAAAAACGGCAAGGCAAAACGATCAGTTGTGGTTCCTGATAGCTGTTATTTCTTCTGTTGACTCTGTGTCAGCAGTTCACTTATGCTTTATAGTTTATTTGTGTGAAGAAGTTTAGTTGTTTAAACTAAAAAAAAAC